AACGTAAACATTGTATAATTTATACAAACATCAGGGTTTTGTTATTATCCTTTTTGATCACAAAGCAATTCAGTACACAACAATGTGGAATGAAGTTTTCTGACTTTTAAGCTTATGGATCCAGGATTTACTGATTATCTAGAACAGCACCTGGCACAAAGTTGACACTCAAACACTTCTTAAAGGTTGAGGAGATGGGGAGAAGATGGATGGATAGATGTAAGGGAGGAAGGGAGGGAGGAAAGAAGGACAGACAAAAAAGCAGGCATGAATGAATCTATTAATAAGTGACCCCAATTTATGATAAAGACTATATAGAATAATTAGACATTCTTGAATTCTAGAACACCTTTTGAAACCTCTTGAATTTTTAAATTAAAGAATGCACACAGTATGATGAGCCATTTAGGTGCTGTGAGCAAACATGCCCTGGTTTGAGGAATATTTGACAGTTTTATGCCAAGTATGAGCAGATGAAGATGATTCTCTCCTTTAAAGCCCAGGAATGTCAGCTACCCCAAATTAAACCAGTCTTTTTCTTTCAAACCTACTCATGTACAACTTGAAATAATCTAAGTCTGGGCCTCCTGCCTCCTCTGAGATTTAACCAGGCAAATCAAAGCTGGCTTAAAAAAAAAAAAAAAGATTGATTTATTTATTTGAAAGGCAGAGCTACAGAGAGGCAGAGAGAGAAAAAGAGGTCTTCTACCCTCTGGTTCACTCCCCAGATGGCTCAGATGGCTCAGCCTGAGCTGAGCCCATCCAAAGCCAGGAGCCAGGAGCTTCTTCCAGGTCTCCCACGTACATGCAGAAGAAAAGCACTTGGGCCATCTGCTACTGCTTTCCCAGACCACAGCAGAGAGCTGGATTAGAAGCGGAGGAACCAGGACTCGAACTGGCACCCACATGGGATGCCGACACTGCAAGCAGCAGCTCTACTGTTACGTTACAGTGCCAGCCCCACCAAAGCTGTCTTACAGTCAGAAGTAAACTATGGGGTTGTTGTTTAGCCTATCAGTTAAGACCCATGTCCCACATTGGAGGACCTGGGATCAACTCCTGGCCTCCAGCTTCCTGCCAATGCACACCCTGGAAGGCAGAGGTCATGGCTCAAGCAGTTGGGTCACTGCCACCCATATGGGAGACCTGGATTCAGCCCTGGCTTCTGGCTTAATACTGACACAGCTTTGGCTGTTACAGGCATTTGGGGAGTGAAGCAGTAGATGAGATGGCAGCTCCTGTCCCTCTCCCTTGCTCTGTTTCTCTGCCAAAGAAAGAAAAATAAGAAAGGGAAAGGAAGAAAAAGAAGGAGAAAGAAAGAGGGAGGGAGAGAGGGGGAGGGGGAAAGGGAAGGAGTGAGAGGGGGAGGGGGAAAGAGGGAGAGAGGGGCAGGGAGGGAGGGAGGGAGACAGGGAAAGAAGGGCAGGGAGGGAGAGAGAGAGAAGAAAGAAGAAGGAAAGAAGGAGGAGGAAGAGGGGGAGGGAATGAGGAGGAAGAGGAGGAGAGAAAACTTGGATAGTGCTCAAATCCAGGTTTGCCCAGAAGTTGAATTTTCCTTTTTATAGATTTCTGTTGAGCTAAAGTGAAACACATTTTCTTTCTGGAGAAGAAAACAAAGGTTCTTACAAATCATATGTTTTCAAGATTAGAAGCTAAAAATATCAAGAATTTTGGAGGCCGGTACTGTGGCTAAATGGGTAAAGCCACCGCCTGCAGAGCGCCAGTTCAAGGCCCAGCTACTCCACTTCTGATCCATCTCTCTGCCATGTCCTGGGAAAGCAGTAGAAGATGGCCCAAGTCCTCGGGTCCCTGCACTCACATGGGAGACCCAGAAGAAGCTCCTGGCTCCTGGCTTAAGATCAGTGCAGCTCTGGCTGTTGTAGCCAACTAGGGAGTAAACTAGCGGATGGAACACCTCTCTCTTTGTCTGTCTCTCCTCTCTCTAAGTAACTCTTTCACATAAATAAATAAATCCTAAAAAAAAGAATTTTATAAGTTAACCCTCCCATCCCATTTTTTAAAATTTCTATGGCATCAGCTTCAGAGATTCAAACAAAATTTCATGATGCTGTAAAGTCCTTTTATGACTGCTATAGCTGTCTTTTCTTACATCTAAAATTCACAGACTTTACTTCTAAGCAGTAATGTAACTATCTCCCCAATCCATTTTCTTAACATTGCAGAACTGAAGATGTGTGTTTGGGCAGGACTCATTCTGAGTAATGAAGACAGGCTCACCGAAAAACAGAATATATTTGAAATTCCTATTCATTGTCCTGAACTTTAGTTTCTACTACTCTTCTTAGTCAAAAAATATACATTCGTGAATATTCTAGTTTTACCATCAGGCTACACAATGCTCCCAATTTTCTGTTTGAATAATTAAGGCAGAATCACTAAACAAAAGTAAAAAGGAAAAAGTAAAAAAAAATCTTTATTAATTCCCAATTCCTAGCTTCAATGTCAAGTCCATTTCTATTAAATAATAGAAGGATTTATGGAGAAAATGTTTGTCAAGACAGAGATATTTACTATAGCCTAATGAGCCAGGCCATTACAATCTGTCAACACTTTTGGAGGAGAAGGAAAATCAATCATAGCAAATGAGAGACTCTGTTTAAGTGTTTTTTGTTGTTGTTGTTGTTGTTTTTTTTTTTTTTTTTTTTGCCTCACATGATGCTCCAAACTACAGCAGCATGTGACACTGACTTCTTCCCAGGTGTTCACAAAGCCCATAATAGAAATCTGCACCTTCCATAAGCACTCAGTCCTTACCAGCAGCCTTCAGCACTTGGGATCCAGCAGGAAGATGGTTTCACCTTTGCTCCCTGAAGTTCAGTTGGTAATATTTCTCAGTTAGACCAGCCTCTTAAACCCTGGATTCCTATCACAGGAGGAATGTCACTGGAAGTAAAACCAGCGATTCCCCATTTCATTCCCCCTGCATGTTTTCTATCATGTATTTCCCTCACTACTTAGATGGTAATGCCAGCTAAGCCAATGCTGACAAGTTAAGCAGAAAAGACCAAGGAATCACCCATCATTCCAGAAACAGCCTTGGTCTACATGGTGGCACCTTTTCTTCCAAGCTCTTCCCAATATGCTATGCTTTTGGCTGGGCCTATGCTGCCTGTATCTGGCTCCCCTATAATCCAGGACTCACCTCTGCATTTTTTTTAAGATTTTATTTATTTATTTGAGAGGTAGAGTTACAGACAGAGAGAGGGAGAGATGAGAGAACGGTCTTCCATCCGCTGTTTCACTCCCCAAATGACTGCAATGGCCCAGGCTGGGCCAATTATGTGCCAGGAGCCAGGAGCTTCTCTGGGTCTTCCACATGGATGCAAAGGCCCTAGGACTTGGGCCATCTTCCAATGCTTTCCCAGGCCATAGCAGAGAGCTGGGACAGGAACAGGTATAGTTGGGAAATGAACCTGCCCCATATGGGGTGCTGGCACCACAGGTGAAGGCTTAGCCCACTATGCTACAGTGCAGGCCCTATCACCTCTGCTTCTTATTGAATCACAAGTGTTGCCTTAAAACCTGCATTCCATTTCAGATTTTAAGACAGAATATAGCCAGAAAACTCAGACTATAAAAAGAAGGCATTTCTTGGGGGGCAGAAACAGGATTTAGAGAAAGCTCTGGAATGCTAAGTGAGGATGGTAGAAAAAATTACGATATCTTTGAAGGGAATTCAGAGTAATGAATGTTGACTTCAAATATGCTTCAGTAAAGATATTCTTGCAATTGGTTTTCATTTAATAAAACTGAACTATGTATTTTAAGGCTTAACAAGTACATACCATCTTTCAGTACTAGTCTACACGTACTCTTCTTGCACAAAGAAATCATAATTCTTATATAGAGCTCAACAACTCAGAAAAATTTTAGAGTCCATCTAATCTACATTAAAGAAAAAATCAATTCTGTAAATGTACAAATTAACCTAACTAGGAAATCATTTATTCATTCATTTTTCTATCTATTTCACAAAAATATATGGAGTATTTACTATGTTCTCAATATTAATGGCAAATAAAAACATCCCCTTTGCCCAAAATAAAAAGGTGTGCAATATTTCTGTGGGCTATGTACTATTTAAGTATTTCCTTAACTGGGCAAGGGTTGAGTAATTTGTAGTCAATTTCTTATTCTAGTAAGTTGACCTCTACAGTAGTATGCATCAGACTATCTCATCAACACTTTGAAAAGACCAAGATCCAAATGCACAAGTATTTTGCTCCTGGCAAAAGTAATAAGGACATGTTTTGAAGTAAAATAACATTCTTAAATTATGAAAGCACTGAATCATTCCTTCAATTTCCTGAAATTAAATATTATAAATATTTGGATGGGCATTTGCCCTTTGGTTAAGATATCCACGTCCCCTATTAGATGGCCTGAGATCAAGCCTTGGCTCAGCTCTTGAGTCCAGCTTCCTGCTAACACACACCCTGGGAGGCAGCAGGAGATGCCTCAAGCAATATGGTCCCTGATAGTCACAGGGAGATTTCCACTGAATTCCCTGCTCCTGGCTTTAGCCTGGCTTAGCTCCAGCCATTGTTGGTATCTGGCTAGTGAATCATCAGGTGGAAAGTCTGTCTGTTTGTCTCTTTGTCTCAAATCAATAAATAAACAAAAATTTAAAAAACAAATATAGGTACAAAGGTATATTCAATTTATAAAGTATTAAAAATAACCATAAAAATGTATATGCCACACATTCACAAGGTGTATGTAAATGTGTATATATATTATCTACATTTACCTTTATGTGTATGCAGTTGTCTAAATTTGTGTGTGTGTATATACACATACTTTTTTTTTCAAAATATATTAGTATGCTAGAATGAGCATTTTATAAAATGCTACATTTTCTAGTTTTGGGCTTCATGGCACATATGTGTAAATCAGAACCAAATCTTTTAAAATACTATTCAGAAAAGATTCCATGCAACATTCAATTGTAAGTTTATATTTCACACTCAGCTACTTACGTTCCATGAAATAGGGCCCAGGCTCAATTCTCCACACAATTTGCCCTTTCTGTGTTCCTGTCACACCCCTGTTTTTAGAATCCCAGAAGTTGGCTGGAGAATTCTCATCTGGAAAAACGAAAGAAAAACATTTTAGCTAATTATAACCTGTCTTCTCTTAGTTCAAAGACTAATATGAGTTCTAAAATAAGGAGAAAAAAAGGCAAAGAGGAAAATATTAATGAGCACTCTGCTTACTGACTTGCTCCCCACAGATTATCATGCTGAATTTCTTTTCTTTTGGATATATTTTTTTCAACTTTTATTTAATAAATATAAACTTCCAAAATACAACTTTTGGATTATAGCAGCTTTTCCCCCCATAACCTCCCTCCCACCCACAACCATCCCATCTCCCATTCCCCCTCCCATCCCATTCTTCATCAAGATTCATTTTCAATTATCTTTATATACAGAAGATCAATTTAGTATATACTAAGTAAAGATTTCAACAGACTGTACCCACACAGACACACTAAGTATAGAGTACTGTTTGAGTACTAGTTATGCCGTTAATTCATATAGTACAACATATTAAGGACAGAGGTCCTACATGGGGAGCAGGTGCACAGTGACTCCCATTGTTGATTTTAACAATTGACACTCTTACTTATGATGTCAGTAATCACCCAAGGCTCTTGTCATGAGCTGCCAAGACTATGGAAGCCTCTTAAGTTCACCGACTCTGAGCTTATTTAGACAAGGCCATAGTCAAAGTGGAAGTTTCCCCTCCCTTCAGAGAAAGTTACCTCCTTCTTTGATGGCCCATTCTTTCTGCTGTGATCTCACAGAGATCTTTCATTTAGGTTTTTTTGTTTTGTTTTGGTTTGGTTTGGTTTTGTTTTGTTTTGTTTTGTTTTGTTTTGTTTTGTTTGCCACGGTGTCTTGGCTTTCCATGCCTGCGAAACTCTCATGGGCTTTTTAGACAGATCCGAGTGCCTTAAGGGCTGATTCTGAGGCCAGAGTGCTGTTTAGGGCATTTGCCATTCTATGAGTCTGCCGTGTATCCCGCTTCCCATGTTGGATTGTTCTCTCCTTTTTAATTCTATCAATTATTATTTGCAGACACAGGTCTTATTTATGTAATCCCTTTGACACTTAATCCTATCCTTTTGATTAATTAAGAACTTAAAACTGATCACTTTAACAAGTAAGATGGCATTGGTACATGCCACCTTGATGGGATTGAATTGGAATCCCCTGGCATGTTTCTAGCTCTACCATTAGGGGTAAGTCTGAATGAGTATGTGCTGAACTGTACATCTCTTCCCTCTCTTATTCCCACTCTTATATGTAACAGGCATCACTTTTCAGTTAAATTTAAATGCCTAAGAATAATGGTGTGTTAATTAAAGAGTTCAACCACTGGTATTAAATAGAACAAAAAATACTAAAAGGAATAAAATAGTAAGTTGTTCCTCAACAGTCAGGACAAGGGCTTATCAAGTCATTGTTTCTCATAGTGTCCATTTCACTTCTACAGGTCTCCTTTTAGGTGCTTGGTTAGTTGTCACTGATTAGGGAGAACATATGATATATGTTCCTTTGGGACTGGCTCATTTCACTCAGCATCATGTTTTCCAGATTCTTACATTTTATTGCAAATGATGGGATTTCATTGTTTTTACTACTATAGAGTATTCTATAGAGTACATATCCCGTAATTTCCTTATCCAGTCTTCTGTTGATGGGCATTTAGGTTGATTCCATGTCTTAGCTATTGTGAATTGAGCTGCAATAAACACTGAGGTGCAGACAGCTCTTTTGTTTGCCAATTTAATTTCCTTTGGGTAAATTCCAAGGAGTGGGATGGCTGGGTTGTATGGTAGGATTATCTTTAGGTTTCTGAGGAATCTCCAAACTGACTTCCATAGTGGCTTTACCAATTTGCATTCCCACCAACAGTGGGTTAGTGTCCCTTTTTCCCCACATCCTCGCCAGCATCTGTTGTTAATTGATTTCTGTATGTAAGCCATTCTAACTTGGGTGAGGTGAAACCTCATTGTGGTTTTGATTTGCATTTCCCTGATTGCTAGTGACCTTGAACATTTTTTCATGTGCCTGTTGGCCATTTGGATTTCCTCTTTTGAAAAATGTCTATTGATGTCCTTGGCCCATCTCTTAAGTGGGTTGTTTGTTTTGTTTTTGTGGAGTTTCTTGATCTCTCTGTAGATTCTGGCTATTAACCCTTTATCTGTTGTATAGTTTGCAAATATTTTTTCCCATTCTGTTGGTTGCCTCTTCACTTTTCTGACTGTTTCTTTTGAAGTACAGAAACTTCTCAATTTAATGTAATCCCAATTGTTAATTCTGGCTTTGACTGCCTGTGCCTCTGGGGTCTTTTCCAAGAAATTTTTGCCTGTGCCTATATCTTGCAGGGTTTCTCTGACATTCTCTAATAATTTGATGGTGTTGGGTCATAGATTTAGATCTTTAATCCATGTTGAGTGGATTTTTGTGTAAGGTGTAAGGTAGGGATCTTCTTCATGCTTCTGCACGTGGAAATCCAGTTTCCCCAGCACCATTTGTTGTATAGACTGTCCTTGCTCCAGGAATTGGTTTTAGATCCTTGATCAATTATAAGTTGACTGGTGTTTCTATTCTGTTCCATTGGTCTATCCATCTGTTTCTGTGCCAGTACCATGCTTTTTTTTATTACAACTGCCCTGTAGTATGTCCTGAAACCTGGTATTGTGATGCCTCCAGCTTTGTTTTTGTTGTACAAGATTGCTTTAGCTATTTGAGGTCTCCTGTTATCATGCTGAATTTCTACACTTGCATTTAAATGTGAGACAAGGAGTGCAGGATGGAGAGAAGATGACACCTCTGGGCTTAGCCAGGGTTTTCAATGTTTTCAACAGACCATAAGGCAAACAGCAAAGGCTACAGCTGCAGCAGCTCCAGCAATAAGTTGACTTACAAGAACAGGGTTGAGGTGAGCTCCTATCTACAAATCCTTCATAAAAAAAGGAAAGGAAGAGCATGACTGGGAGAATATTGCAGAACTCAAGATGGGATAAACTAGAGGGACATTAAGCTTTGCAACTGACTTGAGATACAGCACAGCTTTTGTTTGTTTGTTTTCCCAAAGAAACCTTTTACTTAAGGAATACAAACTTCCTGCATTTCATAAAATCAACTTTAGGAACATAATTATTCAGCACAGCTTTTCAGGATCATTGTTCAGGAGACAGTGGACAAGTCATCGCCTCAGCTAGCGATGTCTTTTATGAAAGACAAAAGGCAGAAGGTAATCGGCCTAAGTGAACAAAGGAAAGGGAGAGTGTGTGCTTAAGCTGTTGTGTGGAAGAAAGAAAGGACATGGGTGCAAAACACAGAGTTTCCCAAGTTCCCTAACCTCATGGCACACAGAAAATGGTAGTATTTCTCTGTCACACTGTGGGAAATGGGAGATCCGCTGACCATGTAGGATGACAGGAAGGGATATTCTGGCTCCTCCAGGCTCTGCCCCACCGCATGGAGGCTGAAGGATTCATAACCCTGAACTTGCTCCCACCACTCTAGTCTGAAGCTCACAGAGGCACAGAGGAGAGACTGAAACTAGAAAACATGAAAAGGAGAGTTGTATAGGTTCAAACAAAATGATGAGACAGGTTGTTCAGGTCACATGTACCTCCTTGTGTCCCCAAAGACACAAAGAAACAATGAGGGGTCTACTTCATGAGCTGGGATAAAGCAGAGCCAATAACAGCTACAGAGAGAAAAGATGGAGAAGGTCCAAAGGAAGAGTCCTGAGAGGAAGACCCTCTCTTCTTTTGAGCATGGAAGAACATGGAAGTGGGCCAAAGTGAGGGGCCATGTGGATTTTGGTCTATGGTTGACCCAGAGGCCCACTGGTTTCACCTCCTTCACAAGCCAAAGAACCCTGGGAGGGATAGTCCATTAACATCATTTGCCTTAAGTACATAAATCAAAGATTCTTTGGTGTAACAGACTAAGAGGCAGCCTCTGCTCCTTCTAAGAATGGAACAGCATAATCCACTCATGGCATTGCCTCCTCTCCTAGACAAACAATGCAACCAAATATCTCCATCACACCACAGAAGTACCACGATGATGCTGATATTAGTAGGCACTTACAAATGAATTTGCTTAAAAATGAATTTGAAAGATGTCATGTGGCTCCTTGGGGCAGGCACTGCATGCTACCAACCATTGAGCTTCTTCACTGCCAGGGAAACCCAAATTCTGGTTAAGGCAACAACGTGTCTAGTTTAAAAAGACTCAGCTCAGGAGCCAGCAGTTAGCTTAGCATTTACGATACCGCAGGTCAGGTCACCCACATGCCATATCAGAGACTTGGACTGAGTTCCTGGCTCCCTGCTTCAGCCCTGACCCAACCCCAGCCATTGTGGTAATTTGGGATTGCACCATTAGATAGGAGTGTTCATTCTCTCTCTCTCACTGGCTCTCTCCCTCTTCCCCTCTTAAAAAAAAAAAAAAAATCCTCGCTAGAATTGCTTGCAGTTAAAGGTGGCATGTGGCCTAGTTCTGGGCAGGGAGATATAAATGGAAGTCTACTAGGCAGGACCTTAAGGAAAACCATTATTTTTTTACTAAGGATAGATTCAACATCTTTGTACTCTTTCCGTGCCATCTTCTTGGATGAGAGCCACATGCTAAGGACAGCAGAGTAAGAAGGTAGGAGTGATCATGGTGATTTTCTGAGACTGAGCCACTTGCCTCCAGGCTTCTAGCTATCTAGGAAAAAACAAATTCCTATCTGATGATTGTCTTCTATTTCCTGAGGCTGAACACAATTCCTGACAGATATACCCACTATCCTAAAAACTTCTTAATAATTTAGATTTGCCACTTCAACTTGGTCTGGAATCCCTGTGGTGGCCTTACTGCTCCAGGATGGACAACAAATGTAGTTGCTTCACCTTTTGAAATATGCTTTAATGGGAAAAGATGCTTGGATAGAGAGAGGGAGTCTCATGTTTTTACAAATAAAGTGAATTGTTAATTAACTGGTCACTTGGAAGGCACAGAAGGCTGGACCCTAAAGGGAACAGAACACAGGGAAAGGAAGTAGATGTCCACAT